CAGCAGGAATATACATTTTGCTATTAAAGCAACATTTAAAACTCCCAGACTTATTGCAGGCCAGCTGTGAGAAGAAGGTCCCAGATGTTGTGCTGCAGTGGCATTATGTAAGCCAGCATAAACTAGAGATTTCACTGCCTGTCACATGGGATGAACTCGGCTCTGGGCTCTCACACAAGCACAGTGAGGCAGCAGATTAAGCACTGGATTTGCAGGAAAAATCTGCCTTTTTAAGATGAGTTCGTAACATGTCTGCTTTTACTGGAGGCTAAGTAAAAAAAAAAAAAAATTGCTTTAGTAATGTGTGAAATCACTGAACTTTCCTGCTGACAATAAACCTTAACTAAATGTTGCATCGATACACATTGGGGGAATTTATCTATTATGATGCCCACATAGAGGGGCCAGGGGGAAAAAAAATATACAATATGTGCCAAATCCACTTTATGAAGCATGAACAACTGCCTGAGGATCACCAAAAAAGCATGTATACATATGTGTATTTCACTTCTAAAGGAGTTATGAGGAAAAAAGAGATAGAGGGGGGCAGCTGCAGCTGTTCTGCTCCAAATATAGCTGCTGGCACACATTGATTACACTGGATTATTAGCATTTGCTTCTCTTGCAACGGATGACAGCAGATTCATGTGTTCAGTCAAATACTACATGACAAGAAAGAGAAGATATTCACATCACATAAAGGGATGCCATAACTCACAGATAAATTGCTTACTAAGACTCTTGTTCACTACCATTTCTTGTGTATGCATTATTATGTGACTGGAATATATCACGGGCAGGTCTTTAACAGAGGGAGGGGGTTGGAGGAGCAGGGATGGAGTCATTATAGTAAAAGAGGCACTCTTATAGAGAAATGACCTCACTTTTTGTGAGATGCCTCACAAGAAAAATTGTGGGATAAAAAGATGAGAGGAGGGAATTTCTAAGATCTGGAAAACACAAACTTCTATTATATTAACTCCGGTCTCATTTATGCTAAAATCAAAAAGTGTGAAAGTCTTTTGAATACTGCTATCCTTGAAAAAGAATTTTAATTCATTTCACTCTATCTATATAGTGCCACTTTACAACATATGTCATTTTAAGGGACTTTACCAAGACAGTACTGTCAGATTGGTTAGGAAAACCTGTTTATTGCATCCAGTCACTGACTTGCAAGACGGGTCCCTCCTGGATGAGCATGTGGCAATGATTTTCACTTTCATTTTGTTGTTGACTCTTCAACAATCCCTCACACTGAGCATGCATATAGCAACAGTGGAGAGGAAAAACTCCCTTTCAACAGGAAGAAACCTCTAGCAGAATCTGGTTCAATGTGACCGGCCATCTGCTGATCAATGGAGATAGAAGCAGACATACAGAAAGAAGTAGAGATTTAAAAGTCCATCAGCTCCACAGGCAGTCCTTTTTATGTTGTAGAATGACAGCAAAAATTGGAGTATGTTTACATATATACATATATATAAATTTATAGGGACATGATACAAACAAATGATTAGCTCTTATTAATTTTTGTTAATAGTCTGATAAAATAGTCTGAAAAACACAAGTTTATTTAGGCATAATGAGAACAGGCATAGATCCTAACATTTGCATCAGTGGGTCGGCTCAGGATGACTGAATGATCTGTCTCTTTTCTACAGGTCCTTGTCTGCCGACCTTGTGACAACAAGCTGATATTTCTGGCACAGAAATGATCAGACGAGTACAGTGACTGAGTGTTAACAGTGAACTTGTCAGTAAGGACAGGGACACCATTTAGCCCTGAGGTAAATGGGTCAGGGAGCTGATTATGTCTTGTGACTGTACTATTCTCCTGTATGCACAAAGAAAAGCTAAGATTTTGCATGCTAGTTGGAAAGTCATATTATGGTTGAATCTGAAATGGAGATCTTCAGTATCTTTCCTTTGTCCACTCTATGGTATATGGCAAAATGCAATTGCGACTTCTCATTAATGTTTCTTTGTAATATGTTTTAAGTGTGCAGTTATGTGCAGTGTTTTTTCAGCTGTTAAAGTTGTATTAATCCTGTTGTACTATAATGGATGTAGTTAAACAGCAATGGAACATTTTTTATTTACAAAGTAAGGCAATATTCCTGTCTGTAAATATTCAGAAGACAGAGATGGAGGCTATAATTTTAGAGGCAAAAAATAATCTTTACATTTTTAGCGTTGGAAATAGTATGAAAACTTTTTGTTTTACTATGGACTAAAACTGTGGAATAATCACCAGATCAAAAAGAATTTCAAGATATTTATAGGGCTGCAACTAACCATTATATTGCAAATAGATTAATCTGTTGATTATTTTTTCTATTAATCGATTAATAATCTGCTAGCTAAAGGTTCCTTGAAGAAGATTTTTTAACGATATTAAACCAGGTAAAACTAAAACTTTTCCACTTGAGGAGATTTGGATAGAAAATATTGACAGATGAAAAATATTTTTTTATCCTAAATGCATAATGTTTATATATTTTTTTAAACTGTGGTATAATCACTGCTCTAATTGGGTTGCTCTGTCAGGTAAAGGCATACTTTACAGTCTCTATTCTCCAGTTAACGATTGCAAAATTATTTGACGATTATTTGTCTATAATCGATTCATCACGATTAATCCGATTAATTGTTTCAGACCTTGATATTTTACTTAAAGTGCATAGTTGGGGAGGATCAGACTTACTTATATGTCATTTATCTTTACCTGCTATTCTGTGCTTATGAGTGAAATTTTTTCTCTGTGAATGTTATTGTATTTTCCTCATTACCAATAAATGTTTTAAACAAAATTAAGTTTTTATAGTATGATACACTATGGTAATGTCAGTTTTCTTCTTCCAGATTTTATTGAATGTACATGACATTCTTCCAGAGTTTTTATGGGTTTTTTTTTCCTAATCTCTCATTGGCTCAGCAATCAGTTTAGGTGAGAAGTCATGTCTTGGTTGACTCACTGTTGCTATCTGGGACCTTGCTTTAAACTTCTCCACTGCTTTATCTGTCTGTCCTAATCCTTGGTCTTTATGGCTGTTGTTCACTGATGTTCCTTTCAATAGTTTAACCTTTCAAAAACTTGTAAACTGATATAAACTATAAATCATTATCACTCTTTCTCCTTTTTTATGCATTTAGATTTAATTTTTTCAGTGTAGTTATTTAGTTTTTTTCTTTTACATTTTTTATTGAACTTTATTGATCTCACACTGGAGAAATTTACTTCTGCATTTAACCCATCCCCTTGGGGAGCAGTGGGCTGCCATTGTGCAGCTCCCGGGGAGCGGTGTGGAGGACCCAGGGACCCAGAGTGCAGGCTGTGGGCATTAAAACTGGGTACTTGCAACCTTATCAGCGCCCTGCTCTAATCACTAGCCCAACGCTCCCCAGTTTTTTATACTCTTATGATCATTAAATCATTTTTGCAATATTAGTGTTTTTGTTTAATCTCTGGATATACGTTTTTTTCTTTCTAACAGTATTACTATTGTTATTATTATAATTTAAATTTAATCGCAGACAGTAGCAATCCAGTGCAGGTGGTGGGAGATAAAAGACATTTTTTTTGAAAGCTCAGTTGTGACAGATAGAGGGTGTTTAAATCTGCTTTTCTTGCCAAACAAAACATAATGATAATAATAATAATATCTGCTTTTAAATTCTTTAAAAGTCAATTGTAGTTTTTCATACCCCAAAATAAACAAATACATTTTACACATATCTTCAGATAAACATTGCACACATCTTTAACCATATTCTCTTTTTGATTATTTTCTTATGTTGCAAATCAACCTTTACAGTCAGATTAATTTTCTTATATTTTGTTGTATTTTTTTTATTTTTACATTTATTTATTTATTTATTTATTTTTTGTTACGAAGGAGAAAAAAGAGAGACAAAGGAGAGTGGAAAATGAATGGCTTAATAGAAAAACTTATTTTCTGAGAAAAAATACTTGGATTAGAAAATATATGAGTTATAAAAGATAAAAAGAAAACTGAAATAATTTTAAAGTAATACAAAGGGTGGAAAAACATGTTTCAATATTTATGTGTGGTCAAAAAATAGGATATGGAATAAAGAAAGATTCGGAAAAAAAAATAAAACAGCAAAATATTTTCTTTAAATAAATGCGTAAAAAAAAAGATCCTGCATTGCAGTAAAAAACTAAAACTGAATATTCATTTTTAAAATAAAAATGGAGAATAAAAATCCAGAGATAAAATAGAACAATTAAAATAGAAGATGTATATAATAATTTTAAAACGACTGATGAATTTCTTCAATTTATCTCTACTTTTTATCCGTTTTTTTTTCTTTTTGCATTTAATGGCTCCCCAATTTAAATTTCAGGCTTTGTTTTTTAAGCAATATCTATGTATGAGTAATTTATTTATTAAATTTTAATTGTGGCAGGAGTGGTCCTCCATAATGTGTATATGTATGCTTCCCTTAGTCTTTCATTTTAATTCTGACACATGTGAGTTTGGTCCCTTGGGAATATTGGGCTAAAGATTCTACTTTATTCTATTCTACTCTGTTCTATTCTACTCTGTTTTATTCAATTCTACTCCATTCTATTCAACTCTATTCTAGTCTATTCTACTCTCTTCTATTCTACTCTATTCTATTCTACTCTACTCTATTTATTCTGTTCTACTCTATTCTTTTCTATTCTATTCTATTCTATTCTATTCTAGTCTATTCTATTCTATTCTATTCTTGCAAGGGCAATTTCTGTAAATAGCTCAATGCTGTGAAGTCACTAAGTAAGATGAAAAAAACAGAAAAAAACTTCATACTTTTGTTTATAATGCTATTTAACACATTTTCTTTAAATTCCACATAATCAATGTGAGCATTAAAAAATAGATATTTTTCTATGTGTTGTGAATAGACAGGGGGCGTTGAAAGGCTGCAGGGAGAGCAGCCAGTCTGTGCACCTAAGTTCGTGTGTGACAGTGGGCGTGTGTGCGTGTAAAGTGATCGTGGCAAAGCCGAGAGATGTAGCAGCGGAGCTCACTGGGACTCTCCGTGGCCACCTTCGTCACTTTTACTTCTGCTCATCTGTCCGACATTATCACTGGGAAATGGGGGCGTTTTGAAGCGCTTCTTCATGACGAGTCGCATTGTATGAATGAGCCACGCAATGCGACCAAGAAGAGCTGTCCCCTCGGAGGATATACTGCGGTTCGTTGGAGTAGCTTGAGCTAGCATAGGGCTAACGCCTTGTGTTGCCTTTCGGAGCGTATCCTGTCAAGATGCTGCGGTGGATACGACAGCAGCTGGTAAAACTGCTTTCGATGCCTTGTATTAAAACCAGTTTTCATCATTTCCCCAAATTGAACACGAGCCTTAGTTTGTTGAAAGATGTAAGAACTTTATTTGGCTGAATTTAGCAAGCTAACTTAGCCGTTGGTGTTTGGTGTCGATGTATTGAAAACATTTTCGTCGTCTGTCAGGTAGACGTTAGGTTAGCTAGCATGTAGCTTTCGGCTAACTGATAGTTGGTAGCTTGTCTGTTAAAACTGAACAACGGTCAAGAGTCAGTTTAAACAGCTATAAATAAACTTACTCTAATTAAAATCTAGTTTGGACTGGAATCTTTGGGAAAACTAACAAACTACATTGCTTACAACGGAAAAGTTAGACATAGTCACCAACTCATATCAAACTTTTAATATAATAACAAAAACTGTTTTACTCGACAGGCTTACATATTGAAATAATATTTATGTTCAGAAATAGTTTTTTCCTGCATATAATTGGAAATAACGGTTTCTTTTTGTAGCTTCTAAAATTGAATAGCCTTCGTTGTGTCAACACTAAGCACATATAGCGACTAAAATATATAATCGATAAGCTTTGCTTGGTTATAATTCGATAAATTGATATAAATTGATTGTTTAAAACAACAAATATCTAAAAAACAAAACAGATATTTAAACAAAAAAAGCAAACATTTTCTATTATTCTCTATCTGGTTTAGTTTAAGTCAATTTCCGCCACTCGTGAAACATAATAAAGATGTCAATAGCGTTGCATATTTTTTAGTGCATTACGCGAAATTTAAAAAGTATAAAGATCTATTTAGATCAAAAAATGCAAGAAACCTTCACATTTGAAGGTTTCAAAATAATGCAAGTAGAATAAAAAAAAGTTTTAATTGATAACAGAAGAACTTTAACATAACTCCCTGACTAGCTAAACAGCTTCACTACTATATAAAGCTATTAATGTGCAGAGAAGTGAAACTTATTGAAAATATGACAAATGCCAAACAAGTGTACATAAATGCATACTAAATATTTAAGTGATTATTTTTATTAAAGAACTGTTGTATGCAGAAACAGCAAAGATTAGCAAGGTTAAGGAGCCCTCAGATCATTTGTGATCAGTCATTTATTTCTATTACATCATTTATAATAGTCATTGTTGCCATTATGTTGAAAACCTTTGTTTTAATTATATTAAGACAATAGGAAAAAAAATAAGACCTTCAAAAATGGTATGTTTTAAGGTTCAAAATACAGCATGAAGTGTGACGGGCTGATTGTAAAGAAAAATAAAGTATTCAAAACATTCAGACAATGTATTTTTCACCACAGTGAGCTTTTGTCCCCTGGCTTTGTCCTAGGCAGTGAGTAAATAGATAAGTAGTTGAATTCTTCCTCTGGTTACATAATTGGTTTGAATTTTTCACATTTCTATGCACATTAGCAAATGGAAAGCAGTTTTTTTTTTAAATAAGTCCTAGCAGTAATGCCAATAAATCATTATTAATTTACCAGCAAGACAGAAAAAAAAAGCCCAGATTCACAGATCATGTTACAAGTCATAATTATGTTACAGCTACGTTATAATTAAGAGATACTGTCTCATAATTATGCGAAATGGATATATAATCAGCTAAGTTATTATTACTGAAAACTTCTTTTATCACATTCTATAAAATTGTTGTTATTATTAAGTTTGTTCAGATTTGCCAAAGCAAAAAGTATGGAGGCAGTTAATATGGTTGCATTTTTAAGTTCAGTGGCCTTATTGAGATTTCAAGATTACTAATCTGATATGAAAAACTACTTTGTCCTCTAAGATATAATGTACTTAATATGTTGTTTTTAATATGTTGGCAACATTTTCAATTGATTATTATAAGATAAGCTGTCTACAAACACTTAATGACTTATGAATTATTGATAAAATGTTGGTGTTTTTAAAAGCCTAAAGTCTGGTATTATTAATTACTGCCAGTTTACAGTGAAGCTTATTGGACTCTGACCTGAAATTACAAAACAATATAGCAGATAAAAAGCTTTGTGTGAAGGGACAATACAGTTAAAAGGTTGAAATACAAATGCCATTAACAAGCCTATTGGTTTTAGCTACCCTGATAATTTAGCATTTGATTAAAGTAATCAAAGAAGAATCCAAAATTCTCCTAGATATTTAGGCAAAATGCAGCAATTGTCTGTACTACAGAAACATAGGACCAGTGTTGCTGCTCTGATCTGTGAGTTATTCTTTAATAATAGATTAACAGAGTTTTGCTCATGAAATGCAGTACAGCTTGCAGTTTTTAGTTTTAGGTCTCCATGCTTGTTGCAGCCTCTTGTTACAGGTCTCTATTGACACTTACTATCTAGTAAATGAATTGTGATGCTATTGCAGATCTGTGTGAATGTGTGAGCTTACTAACTCGTTCTTAAACTATGATGTCAGAGTAAACATTTTTTTTAAACTCCCTGTTGTTAATCACTTACTACTTCCTGCCCTTACAATTGGAATGGAGATGAATGGACTCTTAAGACTCTCTGTTTCAATTTCTTAAAGTTTTTCTTCTGCTTTTAAAGGTTAATCCTTGGCCATTGTTTGATCAGAGAGTTTCCTCTTAATTTGAGATAGCCAAACTACTGTAACCCCTCGCATAGAACTGACCTGCCTAGTTAATTAAAAGTGCAATTAAATTGCATCTTAGCACACCTGGCCTAATTAAAAGGGTTGTCAGAGGCAATCTGTCAGGCCATGATAACGCTGGGAGGTAATGCACTACTGCTTATTCCCTCTCCTTCAGTTTCTCTTAGAAAACTCAGAAAGGAGGAGAGAGATGCAAGAGTTGCGGCTCTATTGTCTCTTAATGTTGGACTTCCTACATAAGCAGAGGTGATATCATGCTAGTACTTCTGCATTTACACCATAAAGAACCGTCCGCAATCATATCTTGCGTAACGGGCATCTGTTGAAACTGAGAACGGCATGCTTTTCTGATTAATTTTATTTCATTATTCCTGCATGTGAGATGCTGAACACTGCCCTTAGATGCTTACAGGTTAGTGTGGAAATCTATAGCTTTGAATAAAGAGTGAGAAAAGGGGAGGAAATTGGTAAACTTTATTTGACTTACCTGTACTTGCACATCCTCTGCACGGTGTTGTCTATATTTGGAGTTTCTTGCAGGACATACAGAAATTTTCATAAAAAGATCTAATAATCTGCTGACAGAAAGCAATAAAACAGCTGAAAAATAATCTCATATCACCATGGATGTGTAAGGTGCTTTCAGTAAAGGCAGCTTTTTTCCTCCTGGCTATTATTTACCCACCATATGTTGGATATCTGTTTATCAGTGTTACTGAGGCTTTTGCAGCGGTTATCATTTATAGGGTCTAAAGCAGCATGTGTTCTTACGGATGATCTGTTTTTTTTTTTAATGTAGCTGTTCCCTTGTTTTGACACTTTTAATGCACAAAACTCTGCTGTATTGTTTCACATTGGTCTTACTGTAATTCAGAGTATGGCTTTGGTTGTTTTTCTTTTTATTCTTCATGGACATGTCTCCACCAAGGCACCATGGGACTTGTAGGCTTAAGGCAGGGAGTAATTATATTTCTGTCTTAAAATTGATGTGGGCTTTAGAGTCTGCAGAAAAAGGTTAAAGGTCTTAACTTGTCTACATTCAATAGATAATTTAGCCACACATGTCTGTGAGTTTAAACTTCGAATTAATCTGCTGTGCAAAATTTTCATTTATACAGACTGTCTTTAGTATGTTATTTAGTGAATTAAGAAAGCCAATATTTTTTTGCAGTTTGGTATTTGTTTCTAACTAACTTGAGAATTAATATAGTGGAGAATTCATAAAAAATCTTTCTGTAACTTGTTGACAGTCACTTCAGCAAGATTATTTAAAGGTTAATAAGATTAAGTTATAAAAAAATGTGGCATTATAAGTATTTAAAGCTTGTTATATCATTAAGAAATACAAAATATATATCTGATATGCCAATGATGTTTCTTTTTTTGTTTTATTTTTTTTATATTTTGATATGACATTGTTTTTTTTTTATTTCTTTTGGGGGGGAATAAACATTGCACTAAAGTTAAGTTTTTTTACATAGTAACTTTTACATTTTAGATTCTGAAAGATAAAACATAGAATCTAAAAGTATTAAAACATGATGAAAACACTCAGGATAAATCATTTGGATTTGTACTAGATGTTGGTTTAAGGACCAAAGGGCTCACGTTGGTTCATTACATGTGGCTTCAACAATTTGGTATGTAGCAAAGGTTTTGACCATGCAGGGTCCTGAAAGTTAACATGAGAAGTGAGTTCTGAAATGCACAGCTAGTTAGTGCAATAGCAGTAAAACAAGGGGAAGTCTTGCTGCAAAGCTTTGGACCAATTAAGTGCAATAAGCACCTTTTGGCCTGTTTATGTGGGGGGGTGGGATGAAAGGAAGCAACAACATAAATATGGAGCTCCCGTTTATACACCAGCACTCTGACTTTGAAATATCTTTTAAAATGAATAACAAAAGAAAAATGTTTCTTTTGAAAGAAAAGATGATTGTTTTTTAAAGAAGCATTGATTGCTCAAAAAGAACAGCTGAAATTGAGAGTTTGAATAAATGGCCTCATTTAAAATTTAATGTTTTTCTTCTCAGAGGATCCATGATCCATTGAGCAATAATACATCACTGTCTTTAGATTTCAGTTGAAATGAGGTAAGCGAAGCTATCATTAGCCTTTTAGGTTAGTTTAAATCCTCTGTGCTGAATTTTGTGATGTCCTGGAAAGGAGTGATACAGGCCCAGTCACTTTTGCATTTTCTAAATTTTCATTTTGCTTTCTTTAATTGTGTAAACTTTGTCTTCAGGTGATTATCTTGCACCTAAGATAGGCAACCAACCAATGATTACTCAGTTTCAATTTGCACAGCTTTTTCATCAGGGCTCAGGGCAACTACAACCGAAATCAAGGAGAGTAAGGATCAGCACAGCAAATGACGAAAACAGCCTAAAGCCAATGCAGCTGTAAAAGCCGCTGTGAACTTATGCCTCACCAGTGGGTGGCGTGCTAGATGTGACACCCAGGCAAAGAAGAAAGAAGAAGGTTGTGCTGGGTTGCATGCACAAACATGCCAGTGTGTATCCAGTTATGCAAATAGGCCTTTCATGACTGAGATGCCATGGGGTATGGCTTCAAACTTATCCAGTCTAAAAGCAGGCTTTAAATGTAGTCTGTTTTATGGCTGCTTTGTAATGAAACAGCCAAGAAGCCATTTGGGGGGGATTGAGCACTTATCCAGGAACCTTTGTCAATTCTGGAAAGTTTAACAACCTTAAGTATGGAACTTAACGTTTTTAAGCACATAGAGCCCCCATCTTTTTAGATGCATTTTGTTGAATGCAGATGCACAACACTTCTTAACAGGCAAAGATTAAAGAGATTGATCTTTTTTATCTGATCAGGTGCTTATACAATCTTACTTTAATTTATTTATCATTGATTCTGCTGGCTAGTTAGTAACTTGATGTTAGTGTTTTCCACTAAGAGAATCATAAATTGAACATAAAAATCGTACAGATTGGTAGGAGGAAGCCACTCCTCTTGGGTATTAGAAGGGGAAATGCTGTATAATGAGGAATTTAAAGGTATGATGTGGGTTTTGTTTCATAGCTAACCTTTAGGTGTTTTTCCAAGGCAGAATGTCAAACAAGAGCAGGAGACAGCAAATGTCTTCAAATGGACAGGCTGAATGTTCTATTTAGAATGCACTGCTTAGACATCTTTATCTGTACCACACTTACTCTAAAGCATATAAATGATAGCAATAATGCATATTAACTAGGTGCAGAAGTTTCTTTTGTCTTGTGAAAGTAGCATAATATTAATCCTTAAAAACCAAACAGGTACTTTGAGAAATGTTGAAGTAATGAAGCTTAAAGTAAAGTAACCAGTGATGTTTGAAACATTTTTTTTTTATTTGGAAAAACATGAAAAGGAAAATATATTTTGGGAGGACAAGACCTGAGTCTAATTTTAAGCCCTGCAGCAAAGATGATAGTTGAATATGTTGGTAAACTGGTGTTAAAATATTAGTAAGGTGAAGAATGATGTTTGTAAATGTTCTGCATGACTTGCAAGAAAAATATAAAATAAACATCTCATTATATCATCCCATACCTATACCTTGTCCCCTAATAATGAGCAATAACAAAGTTTAATTGAAACTTATGCTTTTAGCAAAGATGTGCTGGGACTGAAAAGCTGCAGAAGGTTCTCAATAATGTGGCCTCATTGGAACCTTTCTGTAAGATTGTTCAAATGTTTCGATAAGCTTTCCTATTTAATCTACTATCAAGTGGCTTAAAATGTGCTATAGCCATATAGATCCTAAATGAATGGTAGTTGTATTTAAAAAAAAAAAGAATTTAACAGGAAAGTAAGGCTAACTGCTGGATGTCATTGATACTGTCTTGTTTTTTTGTTGTTGTTTTTCTTTGCATTAGGGAAATATTTGATCTCCAAGTGGTCTCGTACTTCAAGCAGTGATTCCTTTCTATGTTTTTTTTTTTTTTTTTTAAGTGTTAGCAAATTCTATGATTTTTATGGAAGTTTGTATGTTTTTTGTCATTTGAACAGTAAGGTTCAAAAAAGTAGTAATACATCTATTCAATCTTCTTTAGGGAAGTATCATAAGGGTAACATTTTAACACAGAAGAAACTGAATGTTCAGTTTGCAGCTTGCTGCTTCAAACAAAGTGGTTCCTATAATTCTGCAAGACCGCATCTTTCTTAGAATAATTCATTACAACTACATGTTTGCTAAGATACTTGTGTTGAAAGACGAATGATATGGCAATTTGCTCATAGTTAGCCAATCTCGCTTATTGCGTTGCAGTTACCAAGTCATGTTGTTCATATCCAAGCTAGGACTCTGTAATTAAATAACATCTTGCTAAGTCTGTGTCTAGATATGGAGGTTTATAGAGGTTTAGTAAATCAAGTAAACATTGGTCTTAAAAATGTTTATTCTGTAGGACCATACTATACGCGGATCAAATAAGGAGCTGTGTATAACAAGGTTTTAATTGACGACACGGAGTATAGAACAGCATGACGTGAAGTGGAGTGTTGTTCCTCCTCGAAGCTTTGCATTTCACGATTTGTAGTGCACTCTGTGGGAGAAGCTCCACCACGTTTCATGGTGTTGTATATTCTGTAGCGTACATTATAACCGTGTAAAGCGCAGCTCCTCATTGTTTAATTCTTACATGATAGCTTGGTGATCTGTGTTGGGAGCTCAACAGCTGCCCTACTGATGTTGCATTCAGATGCAGTCTTCTTATCTCAGTGTCTTCTATTTATTCTCTATTTAAAGATTAAGCTTTTCTTGCTTTGAATTTGCATAGCAACTGTTCTTTCTGCCAAAAGTTTTAATCATTGGCAATATTAAGATATATTCTTCCTTGGAACTAACAACATTGTTTGTCATACATGTAAGTCTGTAGTGCTTTTATAAAAAGGTTGTTAGAAAGCTTTTTGACATCGTGTTAAAGCTATTCCTTTTCAGCTTTCAACTACTATTTGTAGTATTAAAGGTTTAATCAGCCTTTTTTATGACAGATTTATGCAACCTTCATTGTTGGACTAAGTGACTTCAGTCAATGATCCATTATAAGAACTGAGAAAAGCTAACCTATGCTGGTTTGAGTGTTGCCATAATGTTCCTACTATTTATTTATAGTTTTGGTTTCTGCTTTAAAGCTTTAAAGTCTTCCTTTTGGGTAATTCTTAAATTATTAAAAAAAATTGTATGTAGCTATTTATAAACCCATTACACAGTGCTATCATTTTACTTATAGAAATAATTCTGATTGTTGACTGGTATTTAATATCTATAAGGCTACGTTTTAAGCGCAACAGAAGTAACCTATTTTCTCCTCCCTATCTTCTCTTTTTCCTCCTTCTCTATATGTTGCTATCTTTCTTTTCTTAGGGCTTTGACCCTCCCCATCAGAGTGACACCCGGACGGTTTATGTAGCAAACCGTTTCCCCCAGCATGGCCATTACATACCACAGCGCTTTGCAGACAACAGAATCATCTCATCCAAGGTACTAAAAGGTGTTCCAGTCATACATGCCTAATGAAATAAGCATTTTGAACTAATATATTTGTGTTATCTGTACAAGTTCACTAGAAATGCTTTTACTGGCTGTGTGAAGATGACAAAGTGAAAAACATTTATTAAAACTTTATTTTATTTTGGGCCATATATGTAACAAAATTTGAATATAGAGAAATGCTGGTGGGTCTTTGATAAAAATTTGAAATGAAAAGGTGAATTGTTGAATTCCTTTGATCATATGTAAATCTAAAATGTACTGTCACCAGTCTAATAAGTGTTACTACGGTCAGTTGCCTTGGTGCTCATTTAGATGTGTCATTACCTAATTCACTTAAATGTGAATTTATCGGATGATTTTCTTGTCAAATCAACCGCTCCCAGCACTAAAGCCACATTTGCACTAAAAAACACACACAGAAACTGAGATCAGTAGGTAACCTGAGGTTAATGCCTTGCCTGGGGGCGAATCGACATGTGGCAGATGGTAGCTGAAACCCACAACTCTCAGAATGCAAGACCACTACTCTCTTAACTGAGTCACAGTTGCCTAATCATTAGGGATGCACGATATTGGGATTTTGGCCGATATCCGATATGCCGATATTTTAAAACTCATGTAGCCGATAACCGATATCGATACCGATGTTAAAGCTGGACAAAAATAAGTAGTCATTGAAAATAGCAGTTTTGTTATCCATTTCTGACACTTTGAAAAATAATATACTCAAATATATTTTCATATGCTGATATCAAATTGATTTTTAAAAACGCGGTATCGATCTATTTTACTTTCAAATTCTCGTGAAATTTCATCGTTCTGTTACAAACTCTCGTGATATTTTGCAAATTCTTGTGAGATTTTGTTAGTAAAATAGATCGATACCGCGTCAATATATCAACATATAAAAATATGGCAAACTTTTGTGAATTTTCGGGGGATTTCGTAGCATAACGATGACATATAGCAATATTTCATTAGTAAAAGAGATTGATATGGTGTTTTTAAATGGCAATATATCAGCATATGAAGATATTGTGATATTTTAATGTAGCAATATTTTTCCCCTCGTCTTTAGAAGTTTTTAAGTCGGTAAAAAAGAAGTTTTTGAGGAAGAAGAAGTAGTATTTTATTTTATTTAATTTTTTAGACTTTAGAAACTCAGAAGCTGATCAAATATCGGGTTAAATATCGGTTGGGTGGCCGATGTCCGATATTCAGTTTTAAGGCCGATACAGGCCGATACCGATAGGGGGCCGATTATATCGTGCATCCCTGATAATCATGCTTATTTTAACTGTTTTTGGATTTTTTTTAGCTGATTTAAAAAATATATATTTTTGTGGCTTGCTATCCAGTATAAGTTGATTTAAGACAGTTGGTGTTAAAGCTAATGATATCCTTTTGGCTAAGCAGTGACAGCAGCTATGGCTCGTAAAGATGATGGAGGGAAAATCTAAATTCCAAAGCTTATTTTTGTCAACATTTTGTAAACTGAATTTGTGTGCAGTGTGACTGGTATAAAGGATCATGTGTTGATAGAGTGTTGAGGACTATAATAAAAATTTTGCAATCTATATAAAATTATAAAGAATTGTACCTCTGTCCTAATTTATACACTGTTACAATATGCCTGTGAAAATAACGTTGACCACTCTGCTTTAGTAATTTGGAAAAACATGTATTGTGCCACTTTCCAAGATCTGTAAACCTTTAATTTTTTTTCTCTTTCAGTACACGGTTTGGAATTTTGTCCCTAAGAATCTGTTTGAGCAATTCCGGCGGATAGCAAACTTCTATTTTCTCATCATCTTCCTTGTGCAGGTAATGTGACACACAGGCGCAGATAAAGAAGTCAGTTGTGCGGGTTCATGTTTTTCTCAGTCAGCTGGTGGTGAGTCATGTGTGACCTCAGCTTCCCTGCCTCATTTATAAACCTGTGTCTATCTGTTACTGCATTAGTGGATGTCTCATTATTTTTAAAGACCTAAAGGTAGAGTGGTTTGCCTTTATAAATAGAAAAAAATAAATTACACACACATTTAGCAATGTGTGTTAAAGCCATCCAGAAATGTTTTTCCATCAGAATTCATCAGTCAGCCTGCACAGGAGGTGGATTTGGCTTTCAGATTTTTCCGCCATGCCCTGATTTTTTTGGGGGCTGTGTAGTGAAGCCAAAGGAACCAGCTTGACTTTTTCTGTGACGGTTCTCTTTTCACCCACCTAAGTTGTCAGTGAATTTGAAGCAATTTTTTTCTGAAATCTCTTCACAGTGGGGACACTTATTTTCTCGTCTTGAGGTTGTGAAGGTGACATTTTCTGACATGGTCAGCTTTTAGTCTTTTTAGATAAACTTTCTCTGTCAGGAGCTCTTTGAAACTCAATGTCAGCTTTTGTGTCACTTCTGGAACACAACATTTTAACAGCGGCAGCCTAGTGGTTAGGGCAAAGAACTTGAAATCCTGATGTTCTGAGTTCAGGCCCCACTCCCACAGACTGCCACTCTGGTTCCCTGAGCAAGACCCTTAACCCCACACTGCTCCCAGGGTGCTGCACAATAGCAGCCCACTGCTCCCCAAGGGGATGGGTTAAATGCAGAGAGTTAATTTTGTTGCTCTGTACTTGTGACAGTGTAATCACAATAAAAGCTGAAAAAAAAAATAAATAATAGATCCAGTAGGCCTGGGTGATATGACCTCAAATCAATCACTGAGTTTTTCTTTTACCGACATGGGAAAATTGTCACCGGTTATCGTAGTGAATGACGATAATGGAAAAAAAATCCAGTTTATCACCCAGCCCAATGATCCAGGGTGTCGTTGCAGGTAGGTTTATTCATTGCTTGACTTTTGAGAACAATTCTTTTTTTAAGAGAAATAATAAAAGAAAAAAAAATTGCTTCTAAAAACTACTGAAATCTTCCTGGATGAAATAGTCTGAACTTACCTATGATTTTGTTTCTCTTGTTTTTTACTTTGTATTTAACCATTCTATGGCTTTCTTGTTTGCCTGCTTTAAGCAGTGCATAAACACTTGAACTTGAAAATGGCTGTTATGATTTTATTTGTTTTGTTTTTTGCAGTGGTCTACTTTTACACAAGAACTTTATTCATAAAAACTTTATGACAACATCTCCTATATCCAATTTTGGATGCTGCAGGTCTTTAACATGTTACTGAGCTCCAAGTGACTCTTATCTTTCTCGGTGTTTTCATTTTTTAAGTGGTAATAGATAAATGTCATGTTCATTTCCTTCAGAGTAAATTTCCAAGGGCACTCATGCTCTCTATTTGAGCAAGTCATTGTTTAAAAAACATTTAATAATTCACCATGCAAAACTCCTTTGCTAAAAACAATCCATGTTGAAGCAAGTTTAAAGTTTGTTGAAGAAAATTCATATAAGCGTGTTAAATATTGGGAGACTATAGTCATGTCAGTTGAGACCAGAAAGTTTTAGGGAATTCATATTTAAATTTCATATCATTCTGGCCTAAAAATGTATATAAATGTACTCTTTATCAGACCATATTGTCCCAAAAAAATAGAACATTTCTATTTTTAAAAAAGTCCTGTCTTAAAATCTTAGTTTTTTTCCCCCCCGTTATTCTATGCAGCCCAGTTAGTTATACATCAGCTTGTACTCCTAATTTCGGCCAATCATATATCAACGGTCATCTGTCAATCACATTTTTTCAGTCATATTATCTTGATTCATATGTCGCAGCTAATATATGCAACGGTTAAAATAAGAAATAAGAATCAATTAACTATACCAATGAGTTCTGTCCCAGTGTTCTTGGGGATGGACGTCTGTGTCTTCGGCAAGTAGAGCTAACAGAACTGGCAGCGTTGCGAGGCAAGGGCTCAAACATGTACGGCTGTAAGTCTTCTACACCAAACCAAGCTTTGCCAACCTGGCGTCCTCTTCCACAACAACCACGTCACCACTTTCCTCCACTAAATAAAAAAATGTATGACAGAGGAGACTCATCCACGACCTCCGACACAGAACTCTTCTCTTGCATTTTTCCCGCTGTCCATAGTGCTTATTGATAGTGTTGTTGCTAAGTGCTACTTGGTCCCAATGTAATTTCCCATTGGGAACCTACTTGCACTAAGTTGCTAACTGGTTAGCAAGATGCTTCCAAGACATTGGCAACAACCAAACTTGTTTGCGAACCTTCCGCCACAACATTCCCGTCCCCTTTATAACTGACCAATCGCATTCACATTATTCACTTGTGTAAAGTCGGGCACCACTCGAGGAAATTCCTAACTGCAACCTTTGGAACAGCCGCTTCCCTATGACTTTAAAAGTCATACAGTACAGCAACAGTGTAGTTGGTGGGTCGAAGTATAATGATGCAAAGCTATTTTTTAAGCAGTTGCTGTCGGCAGATTTAATGTAATAAAAAAAAGCATGAATACACAAATGTACTGAGATATTCTTGATGAGGATTGGCTACTATCCAACGGGATATTCAAGAATAAAATACATTCAAACAAGACAATAATCCCACACACACACACAGAATGAATCTCTTAATTAGTCACATAAAAAAAAATCTAAGTGCTAGAATAGCCCAGCCAGGCATCTAACTTAAATCCTGTTAAACAATCCCATCTGATCAGTTTCTCAGTACAGGAAAAAGTCTTAAAGTTTTCAACACCAACAGAGGCTTTTGTACGAAGTATGAAGTACATTTCAGCAAGAGTGTTCTGTACTTTTACCCTGTGCCATTTCATTTGATCAATTCTTGCTTAATATATGGACGTCTATGGTTTTATTTCTTCTCAAGAGTGAATGAGAGCAGTTTTTACTAAATATATTGTTTTTTTAATCATTGCAATTTGGAAATATATTTATCTCAGAAAAGATGTAATACATAGAACAAAATAGAATTATTTTTTATTGGACCACAGTTCGATTTAAAGTGTATTAGCAGCACATATGGGGAAAAGAGTTAACATCAGCAAAAATAAGCAAATTAATTTACTTCTTGTATGTTTATTTTAATGTCAAGTAACATAATATATAAGTCATCAATAAAAAAAATAAATAAATAAAAAAAAGATTGTATTGACCTATAAATGGCTTAATCACAAACTGAATGTTCTCAGATGGTAATAACTGAAGTATCACCTGAGTTAAGCAAATACAAATTTGTTTACACCTAACCATGAAATAATAACAAAATGTAAGAAGGTAAACCACAAAGTCCCTCAAAAATATCATAAGCTTTGATAGAAATCGCCTATGAGATTCTGGTTTACCTCTGAGTAACCATATATGTACAGCTACATGCTTTGAGTTTAGCTCACAGCCTACAATGTAGTCACTCTGTGCATTTCCTGTTTTTTTTTGCAATGCACCTTTTTTTGTGGCTGGTGCAGACAACTTTTAAATCTAAACCTTCCACTGTGGAAAGATTGAATGGTCCCCTTATGTCATCTTTAAACTTTAGAAATGAGGTGATTGGGTGAAGAGAATCTCTTTCAAAAACGGTCAGAAAAATGTGTTTATGCTACCTTTGTCATCAGAGTTTAGACTTGAGGGAAGTTGTCAGAGATTTCCTGTTTGACACACAAGCCACTACTTCTGCTGTATTTCTAGCTCATTTCTCTTAGAAAGGTTACGTCCCCCATACTCTGATGGTAGCCTCTCACTGGTCTATGGCTTTTTTTTGACATCTCTTCATGTGTATTTTTTCTGCAGTTAATGATAGACACTCCAACTTCCCCAGTCACCAGTGGGCTCCCTCTCTTCTTTGTGATCACAGTTACAGCTATTAAACAGGTGAGAATACAAGAGCACAATAGCTTCCTCTTATGCGAGCTAAAAGGGTGGAACCAAAAACCTGGTGCTATGTCAAAATAAAGTTTAAATTGTCTAAGAAAGATCAACTAAAATGATTAAATCCCCTTAACTTTATTTGTAAAATTGTATCAATTACGAGTTCATAAATGCCACTGAACTGTACATAATGATGTTTCTTCGGGCTAACCTTAGTAATTATATATTTTTTTTAATTATGTAGATGGTTGTGCATTTTTAACCAAATAAAATTAGCTGTGTGTTCTCTGCAATATCTAAAAGAGTTTACTTACTTTTTTTTGTACTCCCAGGGCTATGAGGACTGGCTGAGACACAAGGCAGACAATGAGGTGAATGGAGCGCCAGTGTTTGTGGTTCGCAGTGGAAGTCTGGTAAAGACCAAATCCAAAAACATCAGGGTAAGATTCCAAAGCTGCCCCGCAATGAACCTTAGTTATGTTCCAAAATCTGCTCTTTGAGCAAATGCTGTTTTGTAAAGATAAAAGTATAAATTATTAAACTACAATAAAGAAGGCATTTGCACCATGAAGCACTTTTGCTATTAGCCCTACTCTAACTGATCCAGGGGGTTTAATCCCATTGCATGGCTCTCAACTATGAGCAGTAAAGTGCATCCAAGCCCTCTGAAGTCAACATTTACTGACATTATAACTGTCTTGTTTGGAAGTGACTTGATGTTACCAAAATAATCTGTGTGTGATTTAGTTAAAAGGCAAATGAAGTTCTGAGGCTTTAAACAGTCACAGTTCAATCACTTTCTGCCAAAACAACTAAATGTTTTGCAGTATTTTCACATAGGTGGCTCAATTTGTCTGTTCCAGTAAAGTCATAAAGATGCAACTTTTAGTTTCTTACCCATAATACCCAACAAGGTTAGTATAAAAGGAAATTTCCTTTTAATCTTCTAAAAAAACGTTTTTTTTTTTTGAAAAAATGTTACAAGCTGTTATACTTATTTTAAACTATGTTAAGGCCTGATGAGTTGCTGAATTAAAAACTTGTCTTTTTTCCGTTCTCATCTTAAAACCTAAGATTTCCTGCAACAGGATTGAAACTTAGTAGGTTGTTGGTATATTTACCAGCATTTTTCGGATCATTCATTTCATAGCACTACTGCTGTCTAATAGCTAAAGCTAGGCCCAGCAGAAATCATTGTCCTAACCCTTGACGGCACTAACTGTAGCCTGTTGTGTTTTCTCCCCTCCATCTTTTCAGGTTGGGGATATTGTTCGTGTTGCCAAGGATGAAACTTTTCCAGTTGATCTGATTTTGCTGTCGTCTGATCGTGTCGACGGTACTTGTCATATCACCACAGCCAGCCTTGATGGGGAGACAAACCTTAAGGTTTGTTACTACGTTGTAATCAAATTAACATCTTTGCATGTTTGCCTCTGAATTCTCAAGTGCATGTATTATTCAAATAAATAGGTTTCCTCTTAGGACAACAAGAGCGTTGTGAAGTATTGGATGCTTCCGGTTTACAGAAGAGCTTTAGCTTATAATATGTTTTAATCACCCTCTTAAACTTGTTCTTTGATCCTCTCTTACCTTTCCATTACGTGGTTATTATGGGCCTGTGATTTTTTTTACGGTTGATTAGATAGATATGATAATAGTACGCAGTTAACTTTGACCTTCCTTTTTTTTATATTTAAGGTGATCATGAGGCCTGGGGAACATGACTCATAATGCAGTGCACTGATTATTCACTTTAGGTGAACAGAGTTCCACCTCATGGAACTTGACATTGAAATATTTATACCTTAACTTTTCTTACCAAGGTTAATAAAAGTTTTTGTTTAATCAAATGTTTACAATCGGTGTTCCTTTTTTAGCACACAGGTGCTCAAAGCAGTTTACTATAAGTGAGCAGTGGAGTTTTTTTCTGTTTGTTTGTTTTACTAAGTCATATATTTTTCTATTTCACAAAAACAGGAACTTTATTCATTTCATAGTTCAGCTGTTATATAGTTGTTATATAGTTGTATAGTTGTTTAAAAGCCTTTCTACTTTCCCTCATTAACATTTAACATTTTGTTTGTAGACCCATTTTTCTGTGCCAGAGACTTCTGTGTGCCAGTCAGTGTCCCAGCTAGAGGCCTTGCAGGCTGTGGTGGAGTGTCAACAGCCAGAGGCCGACCTATACAGGTATTATATTTGGTGATTTTGACATCATTTAACAAATATAAATCAAAATACAAGTTGAGTGGACAGTTTTAGACCAGTTTTAGAATCTAAAATGCAAGAAAACACAAAAGAAGATAATGTTTACCCAATACCTAACGGCTGCTACGGTTAGATGGTTTCATATTATCAACACTGGCCTATTTCCTTACTGGTGCTTATGTGGGAGTGTCTGACGGAGCTAGACGCTTATATCTGTAGCTTTCACCCCTCCCCCACCAGGAGAACTGCTGTGTTTTCTGTACGACTCAGTAGTTGCAGCTCTTCTCATATAAATTTAAATTACTTGTGAAATGGTCCATCTATAAATTGTATTCTGCCTCCGGTTCTTCTTTTTTTTTTTTTTATTCATTCATTTGACTGTTTTGTTGATATTCAGTCAATATGTTTAGTGAATATAAATCCACGTGCTATTTGAATTATCAATTTGCATTCATCGTGTTGCTGTCTAAATCATTTTTTGTAAAGGAGGTTTTTAGTCTCAGTGCTTATGTTTGATTGAAGAAACGTTTAATAAAAAGAAGTATAAATATACTGGTACCCTGTTGATGTGGTTGTACTGTGATAAAATGTAAGAAACTGCTGCTTACTGCAATTCTTATTTGAATCCATATTCAATTATTCTAAAAACTTGAACAGACATTAAAGAGTTTGCTTGCTTATCTAATCTATTTCTGTATTTAGGCCCAAGCAGCAAAGCGCCCCGAAGGCCTATTGTAATTATTCATTGAGTTTCAAATGTATTCGGTTATTCATTCACTCATATATTTCTGTATTAATTTTGGCAGTATATTATTTCAAGTGTTTGTTTAAATAGCCAGGGTGATAGTATCCATCTTTCGATTGAAACAATGCTTTTTTTTTTTTTATTATGGGTTTCAAAAGATCTTGGTTTAGTCTTGTTTTCTGTACCTGCTCAGACCTTAAAGGGTTCTTTATCCTTCAGATTTGTAGGACGTATAACTGTGACTCAGCATGAAGAGGAGATCGTCAGGTAAGTTTATCCCCTTATTCTCACTCCAATACTAGAAGTGCATGAATTAGTTAGCCTGAGTTTGAAAAAGTTTTGTTCTATAAAAACATTAACTACGCTGATGTAAAATATTGAGTTTCATAAGTTTAACAATGAATGCATCGTTTGACATTAAAGAGACACAGAGTTTGGCTTTTGCTTGGTTCACATGGCAAGATGATTGTGCCAATTTCTGCATCAATCATCCCATTATCTATAAACTCTCAGAAGAGGGGAACCTGGTTATCGGGGGGGGAATAATCCTGCTGTGTTTTTTTTTTTTTTCTCCTTCTTTTTAAGAAGAATGTCGGGACTGCTCCGATTGCAAATTAGGGTCATTCAACATCTTGAATTGTCTCGGCCTGATATTATTGTATTTTTTTCCATAAGGAAAACTGAGCAAGCAACTAAATGAATGTCGAGTGAAGCCAATCAGAAAGTTTTTCATCAAAAAAACAAACACAACCCACTACAGTTGCATGTAAAGCCCCTGTTTGTGCTGTCTCCTCGCCTTTAAACCATACCTTGTCTTATCTTTTCTATTGAAATATTAATCCAGCAACCATCTTCATTGCTTCTTCCTCGTTGGCATAGTTTGTTTACTTTAACTCACTTTTGATTAAGAGAGGTTTGTGAGATTTCCCCTCTGATATCACCATCTTCTGAATTAATACTGTTAGTGTGAGGTAGGTTGATCTTGTCGTGTGGCTGTACACCGCACACCAAGAATGTTTCATCTCTGTTGGTTTTCATTTTGAAAACCACCGAACAATTTAAAAATCTTGCCATGTGAACCAGCCTTTAGCAGAGTTGGGCCACATTAAAGATCAAGGGGAGTGATATTAGAAATGCACTGATTGCAAAACAATTACCTTGTACCTGTTTTTTTAATTTACTTTTCTTTTATCTTTAGACCATTGGGTCCAGAGAACTTGCTGCTCCGAGGGGCAAGGCTGAAAAATACCAAAGAGATTTTTGGTGAGTCAGAATAGTAGATAAAAGGAAAAAGGGGAAAAAAAGACAATTGGCCCAAGAAGGGATCATGGAGATGTTTTTTTTTTTTTTTTTTTGGTACAGAAAGTATCCCTTTATATAGGTTAGTTTAGAGCTGTTCTTAAAAGTTCTTAAGTTCAAGAGGCATTTGCAGGCTGTGGTTTAAATTATTGAATAATTTTATTTCAGACAAACCAGTAAAAACGTACAAATGTAATATATGCAAATATTATGTATAATTATTAATATATGAAATTATATGAATAATTAAGAGCCTGTCTGAAAAAGTTTGTGTTTAGCCTTTACTACTTTTATGTAGCAAATTAGATGCTATAATCTGTTAATGCTGCATGCATTCTGGTCTGTTGTATGACTTCAAACGTTGTTCAATGAATAGTGTGTTGGACGAGCCTCAAAGTTGATATATACCTGGACCTTCTGTGCTGTTTCAGGTGTGGCAGTTTATACAGGGATGGAATCCAAGATGGCGCTCAACTACAAATGCAAGTCCCAGAAACGCTCTGCTGTTGAGAAGTAAGTTATTGATGACTGATGCTGCTTTCACACCAAAAGGAGCAGAGGCAGCAGGAGCAGCTAGTTTACATGCAAAGTCAATGGTTGACGCGCCTCAAGGCGCAGCAAAATGTCCCGCAGCGTGTTTTGAGCAGCAGGAGCAGCGCGTTTTGAGCAGCAGGAGC